ACTAAATAAATAAATAAATAAATAAATAAAATTTAAAAAAAAAAAAAAGAAAATATTTTAGGCTTTTCATGGCCATACTACTTATATCATAAGTATTTACCTCTGCTCTTGTAGCAGGAAAGCAGGCCATATGTAAATGAATGGGCGAATGTGTGTGCCAGTACATAAATGTTTTATTCACAGATGCCTTTTGTTTACAGAAATAGGTCATGAGTCATACTTGCTGACCCTTGATTTTGACATGACTTGCTGACTGAAAGGAAACTGAAAATTTGCGGCAGATCCTCCTAATGTATTTGTAAATTGTAATCAGTATATAAACTTTTTCCTTGCGGTTTTGTTTTCTTGATACACTATTCAAAATCAAGTAAAGACTGGATAAATCCCAACTATATAACCTGTATTCAAAACTTGGTCTGTATATGTATGTCTGATATATCTTTTGTTGGTATATTGAGAGGGCAGAGATTTAGCTCAGCGATATAAGTGCCTGCCTAGCAGGCGCAAAGTCCTGAGTTTGATCCCTGGTACCGCCAAAAAAAAAAAAAAAAAGATTGAGATGAGTTTTGCTATTGTTCAGGCTGGTCTCTAAAATTCCTGGGTTCAGGAGGTCCTCCCACCTTAGCCTCCTGACTATCTAGGACTACAGATGCATGCTTTCCTTATAATCTACTTTGGAGAGCGAACCCCCAGAGTTCAAACCTTAGCTTTATAATCTGAGGTGGACTTAACCCCTTTTTATATACAGGCATTGAATCAGTCCTTAACAAATGGTAGGTTTTATGGTATTCCTGAATTCTTCCTCTTTAATTGGCTTATTAATGACATTTTTCTATTGTATATTATGTAACTAAATATTATAATCTTTATACGTTACAAATATGATAGGGTTTTTTTTTGGTGGGGACAGTATTGGGGATTAAGCATTATTACTAAGCTACATTTCCAGACTATTTTTTGACACAGGATTTTGCTACATTGCCTAGGCTGGACTTGATCTTGCCTTAGCCTCCCACCATATTTCTAATTTTAAGAAGGAGAAGAAGAAAAAAAAAGGGGCGGGAGAGAAGAATTACTGTAGGGTTGTTTTGTTTTGTTTGGTCCTAGGGATTGAACCCAGGGTCTCTCCTATGCTAAGCACTGAGCTATACCACTTCACTCTGAGCATTACTTTTTTTTCTATGTGTATGTTGAATGTAGGAATTGAATTTTTTGGGTGGGGCAGTACTTGGAATTGAATGTAGGGGCACTTCACTTTACCCTGAGCTGCCTCCTTAGCTCTTTTTCTTATTTATTTATTTATTTATTTATTTATTTATTTATTTATTTTTGCGGAACCGGGGGTTGAACTCAGGCCTTTGTGCTTGCCAGGGAAGCGCTTATTTACTGAGCTATCTCCCTGCCCCCCTTGGCCCTTTTTAGACATTTAAAAAATATTTTTGAGATGGGATTTTGCCAAGTTCCCTAGATGGAACTGAAATTTTTTTTTTTTTTTTTTTTTTTGCGGAACCGGGGATTGAACTCAGGCCCTTGCGCTTGCTAGGAAGCACTTATTCCACTGAGCCATCTCCCTGGCCCCTGGAACTCAAATTTGCAGTTCTCCTGCCTTAGCCACTCCCTGTGTACTAAGATTACAGACATGTACCATTATGCCCAGCTGGAACTAAGTTTTATTTGTCTTTGTAACTTTGCTCTGGACAGAATTCTTTCCGTAGTTCATTCTTAATGTTTGAACTGAATTATATTTTTTCATTTTAATTTTAATGTATTTTTCAGTAAACACCATTGTATGAACCTGCTGTAAGCTTAGGGGTGTTCTGTTAGTCTGCAGTCCATGTCTGAGGTGCATTGACTGAAGATGAGCTCAGCACATCGTCTCATCGCCTTTGGCTCTGTTGCTTATCCTTCATAGCATGTTGCTCATTGGCCCTGTAAGCATCACTTCTCTGATACTCATTTTGTTCTTTTTGCATTAATGATTTGGTTTGCCTGACTGGTTCTACTAGTTAGATTGAAAAAAATTATTGAAGCTAGAATCTGTATTTTAGGGCTGGGAAGATAGCTTGGTGGTCTAGGTGCCTGCCTGGCAAGAGCATGGACCCAGGTTCGATCACCGGTACCCTAGTACCACATGCTGTGCCGCCTTGCCGGCCATGGAAACTGGGTGTGGTGGCGCATGCCTATAATCCCAGCTCTAGGAAGGCTGAGATAGGAGGATTACTTACTACAAGTCTTATGAGTCCAAGCTATGTAGCAAAACTCTGTACCAAATACATAAATAAAAGATTTTTTTAAAAAATTTTTTTAAAGTATGTTTTATTTCCTTATCTATGATACTAGAAAGTAAGTTATCTTCCATACATGTGTACTAATGAAAAAATTAGTGAGTAATGGCTATACTTTGGTACTTTGTTATTCTTTCGTTTTGATACATGATGATAAATACTGTTCCCAACAACCTCCCTTCCCTGTGAGGATTTTTTTTTTTTTTGAGGTGATCAAATTTTATTTATTTATTTTTATTTATATTTTTAGTACAAACTTTTGTTTTCAATGCCCTGTGAGGATTGAACCTAGGCTCTTAAATATGCTAGGCAGTTCCTGAGCTACATCCCCAGCCTTTGCTTACAATTTTGATGAGACTGTGTGTAGATTTGCCTCTGATATATACCTCATATCTTTTGCTGTTGCTCTGGTAGAATTTTAATTTGGTTAAGTGTCTGTTAGAAGTTTTGATCTTATATCAAAAGCAATATATGTACACATAGTAAAGCAAAATCCAACAGAACATAGTTCTGTTACATGTAATCTAAATAATTTGTATGTGTATTTAAAAACTGTGGATTATACTTTACACCTTTGCTGCATATTTTTTGAGTTGTTTTTTAACCCACTTGCTTAGTTTAAAAGACTTTCACAAGGATTCCAAATCCAAATTATGAATGGGTAGTAGTTTATTAGACTCTTAAGTGCCTCATAAACACCATACTGTCTCCCACAAGTTGCATTGCTGTTTACTTTATTGTTATTCAGGAATAGATGAGAAAAGGGATTGAAAGCCTGAGCCAACTAATTAACTGTCTTGATCACCTGAGAACTCAGGTCTGCCCAATGAACATGAGTCTGAGGTGGTGTTGAGTATATGTTCTACCTTCTTAATTTTTTATTTTGAGAAATGTAAAACCTGCCAAAAAATTGGAGGACTACAGTAATGAACACCTCACCCCTCTAGCATTCACTTAGATTCACTAGTCATAATTTTCTCTTATAAGCTTTATTCTTCTCTATAGATGTATGCATTTTTTTTTTCCAGAACAGTTTCAGAATGTTAGCAAGCCAGACGAGATACTTCATCTCTAAATGTTTTATAAGTTGTCTTGAGAATATATAAGGACAGGGTCTGGGGAGATGGCTCAGTAGCATAAGTGCTTCCCTGGCAAGCGCAGGGGTCAGAGTTCAATCCCCAGTTCTGCAAAAAAAAAAAAAGAATACAAGGACATTTTCAGAGTGCATCGGGGGCCTGGCCCTAGCTCAGGCCTTTAAGTGGCTGCTTCCACAAAGCTGTCAGCCTCAGGTTGCTGGAGTTCAAACCTCACAACTCTCCCACAACTCTCCCGCTGGCCAAAAGTGCCCTGAAGGCATTCAAGGAACAACAACAACAACAAAAAAAAATCCTTATGGGGGCCTCCTGCTCCTTAGCTCAGTTCTTTAAGTGGCTGCTTCAACAAAGCAGTCAGGCTTAGGTTGCTGTGGTTCGATCCCCACAACACAAGACAGCCAGTCATGCCTTGAAGGCATTCGCAGCAAAAAAAAAAAAACAAAAAAAAAAACCACAGAGTGCATCATGGAGCATGTCTGTAATCCCAGCACTGAGGCAGGAGGATCAAGCTGAAGACATGTCTGGACTAACCTAGTAAGTTCAAGACCAGCCTGAAGGGCTGGTGAGATAGTTCAGTGGACTATGTGCCTACTTAGGCAAGCACAGGGACCAGGGTTTGATTCCCAACACCACATGCCCTGCTGACGAACACCACATCCCTGGGCTTGCTGAGTTGGCCACAGAAACTGAGTGTGGTTATGCATGCCTGTAATCAGTGCTGGGGAGGCTGAAAACAGCATCACTATGAGTCCAAGCTGCATAGTGAGACACTGTACCAAAATCTAAAAAATTAATAAAAAAGACAAGCCTGAACTATATAATGAGATCTTGTCTAAAAAAATAAGGATTTTTTCATGTATAACTGTGAAAATTATATAATGTATAGTACCTTGTCATATTTTTTCTAGTTCCAAAAATCTTGTATGTAGTCAATTTTCTGTAGTTTCCCATGGAACAGTTCTTTGCCTTCGTCTGTGTCTCAGGGCATTAATATTTTTCAACAAGTCAGTTCTGTAGAATCAAGTACATTTTCTTTTCTTTTCTTTTTTTTTTTTTTTTTTTTGGCGGAACCAGGGATTGAACTCAGGCCCTTATGCTTGCCAAGGAAGTACTTATTCCACTGAGCCATCTCCTCGGCCCCATAC